TACAGCACAGGCAACCCGTGTGAGCACCTTTGTATCTTCCAGTCCAGCCCCCTGCTCGATGTATGAGGGAAAACAGCAAAACAGCGGAGGATGGCTCAGGTCCTTGGGACCCTGCCCCCATATGGGTGACCTGGAAGAAGCTCCTGGCTCCTGGCTTCAGATTGGCTCAGCTCTGGCCGTTGTGGTTGCTTGGGGAGTGAATCAGCAGATAGAGCTCTGTGTGTCTCTACCTTTAAAATAAACAAGTTTTTAAAAACAACACAAAGTACAATTAAAAGATAATTTTGAGTGCAAAACAATTTTGAAATTCATATATACATACCAGTGGTCTTAAAACAATAAAAAAAAAACAACCCTATTCATGGATCTTGCTTTTTGTAACCAAAATCCACCTTTTTGTGTCACCTCAACTTTCCATGAACTTTTTGAAGCACCGTGTCTAGTGAAGAAATGTGTTTTCAAAGTGGGCCCAGGGACAGCCTCAGCAGGCTGCCCCCCCCCCAACTCCTTGTCCAACCCTGTCCCTTGATGGATGCTCAGGTTCAGGTTCACTGGGGACCCCAGTGCCTAGCTCTCCCCCTTGGTCTTCCCCAAAGCTGGCTATCCAATTCGGACCTCTGGCTCCCTGCCCCTGCCAGACAGCTCACCTCTGCGGCTCATCATGTCAGCGTTTCCCTCACGGTGCATCAGGGACCCGACCAAGCCTCAGCATCCTACTGACCCAAAGATTTGACCATTTCAGTCCGGAAAGCCATGGAGGAAGTCATCAATAGGCTGCACCGTGTTTAAGGTAAACAGCATCTTCCATTCACCTCCGGTTAATAACCGATGGGCAGGCCCTCCGCGGCTTCCAATGGCAGAGAGGAAAAGAAAGGGCTTCCCGGGGACAGCATCGTGGTCAGAGCATTCTGAGTGAGCACAAACGGAGCCCTATAGGAAGTGTATATTGAACAATATGACACACTGGCTTCTAATTGCTGCTGCCTCTCTGATCAATAATACATGTTTTCAAAAAGCCTTCTGTTTGCATTTACACAATGGACTGTAACTACTGCAAAGGATCCATTAAGGCCTATTTTAAAAAGTGCATTCGTAAAAAGTTGTCTAAATCTGCATTACAAGGCAGATTGTGAAACTGCCTAGGGATGCTTTCCGGCTGTCTAAAGGGTGTGCAGGCCCTCTTCGCCTTAAGACTGGCCGACTGCAGCTCCCAGCTCCCTCCACTGCCTGCTGCTGCACTGGGACAGCTTCCTTCCCTGGACTCAGAGTCTGTACGTGGGCACGGTTGGGCCTGCAGCCCCACCCAGCCGTGCCCGTGCCTTAGGGCTGGGCGTAAGCCCGGGGGCATTCTGCAATGTGTAATTACAAGGCCAGCTGAGTGAGCTGTGCGTGGCTGAGAGGACTCTGGGGTCTAAGACGCCCTCTCCTACCCCGGCCTGCCGCCAAGCCAGGAAGGCAGAAAGCAGGGGTGGGTTTGGCCACAAGCCTCCCCCGTCTCCCTGCCCCCTAGCAAACTGATGTGAGCTGTTAGGTGTGCTGGTGGCCAGTTCGGAGCAGAGGGAAGTAGAAAGATGGCTGCAGAGGCCGTCTGGATGTCTGTACTCCAGGTCACAGCAATACCCACCGACCTCCAGAAAATAAACCGCAATGACCATGGGTGCATCTACAGCCCTGGCTTGAGCCTCGGGCCAAGCAGGGAGAAGGAACTCACACTTTCCAGCCACAGTGGATCTTGATGGATGCTCAGGTTCAGAAGCCAGGGCTCAGGCCCAGGGAAGGTAGGAGGGACAGCCTTCTTCCAGGCCAGGCAGAGGCCCCACCTGCAAATGCCCTGGGACCAAGTTTTTAAAGCCATATCCAGCGGAAGCCGGGTGTCCTGAGTAAGCTGATCAAGGTAGCATACACGACAAAGCAAAGCATATACTGACATCAGTTGCCGACCTACTCCCTTGCCAACAGCAGGCCCAGGAGACAAGCCCCAGTGGGGAGCTGTAGACCCACTGCTATGGCTTTTATTCCCTCCTCCCCTGGGAGTAGCAAGTACAAAATCTAACCCTGGGAAAATGGAAGTACAGGGTAGGTTGCTGAGAGCACACACACTTGGCTGCCCAGTCGGATTTCAGATCACCCAGGTCCCACTGCTCACGGGAGGGCCTTATACCTCTGGGGATGCCCGCTGAGCACCCTAGGTCAACAGCACCCATCACATCACTGGGCCACACAGCACCCCAGGGACTGGGCAGCTTCTGGATTTGTTTCCTCTCCCTGCAGGACCAGGGTTTCTTACACTCACCCTTGGCCTTCTCAATGCCTCTGGAGTCTCCCATACCTGCATGACATCTTACCCCGCCCCCTCCCAAGCAGGGCAGGCCCATGTCCTGGCATCCCAACCCACTCCCTCCCAAGCAAGGCAGGCCCACGTCCTGGCATACCACCCGCCCCCTCCCAGGCAGGGCAAGCCTATGCTTTGCCAGATCTGACCCTCACTGTCCTTTCCCCAGGTCTTATTTTGCAGCCAAGAGTCTTTGAGTAGCAGCAAACGATGCTGGGAGCTCACACGTGCCACAGCAAGAACGCAGGAGCCTCCCACCCACCCTGTGACTCCTCACTGCCCCAGGATGAGCTGAAAGCTCAGCCATCTGACCAAGTAGCAAAACGGAGGCAGGGGCAGCTTAAGTTGGATCTAATCACTCCAGAGTTGAGACACTGTGACATCTTAGGCAATGTCTATAGGGGGGGAGGGGAAATACAGTGTGTCTGCGAGGAGGCAGGGCCAGAAAGTCTCCTGTTTCTACAGCTGCTCTTGTGAACCTGCAAGAGAACCCTAAAGTGGTGGGGGTGGCAGGTGGGGGTCACCAACCCTGCCCTGAGGCACTCTCCTGCAGCTCCAAGTGGCCACGCCCCTCAGCAGAATGGTGGATGAGGGTGCCAGAGGCCCAGGGAGGCTGAGTCAATGAGTGCCTGCAGGGATCTGATCTCATCTGCACACCCTCCTGCCAAGAGAGTGTTAACACGTGGGGAAACCAAGGCTCAGAGACAGAGGCCTAAGCAGAGCAGAGGAAGCATCCAACAGAGCTCTCCGGGGAGTCAAGGCTGGCACCTGCTGTGCCGTCACCCTTACAGGGTGGCATCTGCTTCCTCGGCGCTGGGTGAGGGAGCTTCTGCCTGGCCCCAAGCCACGGGTGCCAGGGCTCCCTTCCACCAGCAAGCCCAGGCTTTGGCTGTGTCTCTGACCCTGTCCATGGTCTTTTCTCTCCGGTCAGGGACCTGGGCCTCAGCATGGGGGAGGATGTGCTCTGTGTGTGTGTGTGTGTGTGTGTGTGTGTGTGTGTGTGTCCACCATCAACACACACAGGCACACACACACCTTGTTCCAAAGGGTGGAGGTGGGCAACAGAGAGGGACAGGTCACAGCCAGCATCGGCCAAGGCCTGCTCAGATGGTCTTTGGGCACTGCCAGGTTGGACTAGCCCAAGCCACTCTCGTCTCTCTGCACTCTCTCAGGAGAGAACCACATAGGTCTCTCCCTTCTGACTCTGCTCCCCTTGGTGGCACAGGCCTGTTGTGCAGCTGGCACCATGGACATGGGCACCCAAGGGCGGTCCCACGGCCAGCTCTAGCTTCCTTAAGGGCCCCCAGGCAAAGCAGCCTTTGGCATCCACAGATCGGGGCATCTGGGGGGGGTGGGTTGGCAGGCCCTTCACCCACTCACCCAGGGGGGCCTGGCCACCCACCCATTAGCAGGCTGGCTCTGGACAGCTGGGTTTGGCCCAGCCCCAAGCAGCCTCTGTCTTGGCAGCTCCTCCTCCTGACTTCACTTTGACTTCATATCTGCAGAGCGATGTGGAGGTCGCTTGTTCAGCTCTGAGCTCAGCCAGGCGAGAGGGCGGGGCTCCGCGCACAGCGGGGAAGAGGAGCGGCAGGTCCAGGGGGCACCCTGCACACCGCGGGGCACTCCCACTCTGCCTACCTACCGCGCCCAGATACTGGCAGGACCTCAAAAGGGGTTGAGGGCACCCCACGGAGGCCCAGAGCCGAGCCCCCTATTCAGGTCTCACTTTTAGGGTGTGGCTATGATTTCAGGCGTCCTTTGGGGGGGGGGGCCTCTGGTCCTGCCTGCCATTGGCTCTCCCACGCAAACCGCCGCATCTGCCATGTGGGAAGGGGAAAGGGCACCTGCGCTCCGGACACCTCGTTAGCCACCAGCTCCTGCGTTCTTAGGAAACAGAACCCCGAGCCTGTCTCCAGGTCCCACCGAGTGGACCCGTCCTGCGGAGCACAAACGAGACTTAAGGGGATCCGTTGCCTGTGCACCACAAGGTCCTGCGTGAGCCACAAGCCTAGCCAGCCCCGCTGGACCCAGCGGCGGCCGCGCTCCCGCCGCGCCTTCCCCGCTGAGAAATGGCGGAGGATGCGCTCGGCGCCCGGGGCCCAGAGGCGCGGCGCTCGCCAGCTCTTAGGGCCTGTGCGGTCATTTTCCCAGCCGGTCGGCCAGATCCGGCTAACCGGCGTGGCTCCCCTGCCGGCCGCTCCTGACCGCTGTGAAGGGCGAAACGCAGAGACCACAGGCGTGAGCACAGGGGGCCAGTGCCGAGGTGCGCGGACCCCGGCTGCCAGCCAGCCCCGTGCGTGCCCCGCCTGGCACGTCCCGCACCTAGCTCCCGCACGGTCCGCACCCGCGAGGCGAGAGCCGGTACCCGGAGCCCCGCCCCTACCCCCGCACCCCGCCCGCCCCGCCCCCGGGCCCGCCCCCGCGCCACCCCGCCCCTGCCCGCTCTTTCCGCACAGCCTGCGCCCGCCTAAGCCTCAGTCCCGCGACCCGAGCCCGGCGCTCCAGAGAGGAGAGCGCGCCGGAGTCGGCGCCCGGACGCACCGCGCCCGCAGTGTCCGCCGCCGCGCCCTGGCCGGGCATGGGGCGGCCCGGCTGAGCCCCGCACCCCACCGCACCCCGCTGCTGGCCCGAGCCAGCCCTCCAGCCGTGGCACCGGTGCGCACGGGCGATGGCCAAGGCGACGTCCGGCGCCGCGGAGCTGAGACTGCGACTGTGGTTGCTGCTGCTGCCGCTGCTCGGCGAAGGTGAGTCGTGCGGGCTGTCGGGACGAAGTTAGAACGGCGAGCGGAGTGGCGGGGTTGGGTGCGCGCGGCAACGCCTTTCCTACGCACGGGCGGCTGCGGGGATGCGGGGCCGCGGGCCTGGGCTGAGAGAGGGGTGGCCGCGGCGGGCCGCAGGCAGCGCGCTGCGGGCCCGGGCTGCGTGGGTGGGTCTCGGGGCAGAGGTTGGGCGCGGGGCTGGGAGGCCGGCGGGGTGGGCATCCGGAACCGCAGCCTAACCCTGGACAGGTCAGGGAATCCCCGGGGCCCCCGGGGCCCCGACCCCCGCGGCTTGCGCCAGGAGTTGTGATTGGTGCGGGAGCCCGCTGCGCCCCGCTTTCCTTTTCGCGTTGCACTTTAGGGCTTGTCTTCCCTGGCGCTCCCCGGCGCGTGGGGCGCTATCCCGAAAGGTGCCTGTCCCCGGTGCGGTTTTTTTTTTTTTTTTTATGTTCGATGCGATCCAAAAGCTCCAAAGGTTCGTTTGCTGGGGTGGCTTCTCTTCCTCCTCTCGCACCTCCCCGCGAGGGCCTGCCGTGCTCTGTCCGAGTCCCACCCTGCAGCCGCGAGTCCTGCCTTTCCGGGGACCTGGGCGACTCGGGGCGCCTTGGCTCCGCTTGGGGTGGGGTGAGGCGCTTCGCTCCTTAGCGACGTCGTTCGCTCAAGGATCCCGCTGTTAGGTGCGGCTTCGCCGGGAATGACCGCCTCCCCACCCCACCCCACCCCTGGGCGAGTGAAGCCCGCGGCTGTGAGATGTTTAAAACGCTCAAGTGCGCGCGTTTCAGCGTCCCGCAGACCGGTGCTCAACTTGGTCCCCTCCTTGGAGGGAGCGAACAAGCAAGCCAGGAGTGGTTCTGAGGCTGCAAGCCTCCCTCGCTTGGGGAGTGGGAGTGAGGGAGGAGCCCTGACTCCCTTCCCCCACCCCTTACGACGGACGTCCTGTCCGCGAACCGTTTTTGGAGCAGGGAAGTCGCTGGTCACCTTGCCTGTATTCTGCAGGTGCTACAGAATCTGGGCTCATAGGCCTCCGCCAAGCAGGCTTGGTGTGTGTGCATCCCACTGCTCTACCCAGCAGGGAAAGCGGCCGGCAGTGCCCAGCGCATTGTCAGCGGAGGGCCCCTGGGACGGGGACCCTTCTCCTTGGCTGGACTCTTGCTAGAGGCTGGATTTTCTGTTGCTCTCGGGATTCCGGGGTTGCGACTTGGTAGTTGTGGGCATGTGGTCAAGTGCTGGGCCATCTCCAGAGATCTTCCCTGTGCCCGTCCACAGCTGAGGGCAGTTGTGGGGGAGTGCACACTGCAGTGACCCCAGGATGCAGGCAGCAGGCACCCCGTAAGAGTGCGGGTTGCTTTCAGTACTCGAGCCCTGAGCTGCTGGCTACAGCTTCCCCAATCCAGGGAGCAGGCTCACCCTTCCCGTCTGATCCCTAGTTTGATCGGAAAACCTTGGTTGGTGTCACTAAGAGTGGGACAATGGCCACCCCCTCTGGGAGGTCTTTATCCAAGCCTGGGGCAGCTCTGAACCAGCAACTGCCACCCAACCCACCTGGCCTACCAGCCCAGCCGCTACCCTACCACCCCGGAGGGGGAACATCCCAGCCTCGGGCTCCCTCTGGTGGATGCGGTGGTGACTGGGCCGGTTCCATGGGAGAGGCTGGGTCTCCGGGAGTGCCAGCTCATGCTGGACCCTTGCTCCTGGAAATGGGTTCACCAGGCTTGTGGTCCCCCGTGTACTCCTCCCAGGATGATCTGGCTGCCTCGCACCCCACCCTCACGCAGGTGCACCCAGAGATCAGGCCCTCCTGGCTTATCCCACTCACTCCCCCCGACCCTGGCCCCTCACCTTTCCTATATACATAGTACAGGACCCCAGGGTGGACAGAGCTGGGCAGCCTCCACCCTGGCACCGCTCCCAGGAGACTGTGGCCATTGGCTAGTTGCCACCAGGACCCTTGTCCTGTTGCCTGGCTGAGGCCCAGCATTTGGACAGCTCTACTAACAAGGAGGGACCTGTTCGCTTGTTCCGCAAGGGAACCCACAAGTTCTGCAGGTGCCCTGACTGGACAGGGCCCTCTTGGTCCCCCTCTGCCTCTGGCACCTGCTGTGCCAGAAGACCAGAACCACCTGCTTCTTCCTTCCTCTTTGGCCCCATGTGGGTGGAAGACTTCTTCTCCTGCCTTACCAGGCTTACCTGGGTCTGCTTTGTGCGCCCAAGGCTGCCTGCAGACCCAGCTGGTTGGTGGGCTCCTGAGGGTAGGCCCTGTGGTGGAGAACAAATGGCAAAGTTTCTGGAGCCCATTCGCTCAATTGCCTTTATTCTGCAGAATTGCTTTAGGGACTGGCTAAGTAAATCACTGTTTCCTTGGTGGCGTGAAGAAAATGGGATGCATTCACCTAATGGGGCGCTAATGGCCTTTTAGCCAGGGGAGGGGAAAAAGTAATTAAAAAATATGGAATCTGCGAAAATAGAGGCTGGGGTGCTAAGGGGGAAGGGAGGGCCCCCTCCCTGGAAACTGTTGCCTCCTTTCACCACCGGGGGACCTTGCCCCTCAGGGTCCCCTTGTGCTGGGTGGCTTGGGGAGGATGTGGCAGTGGCGGGGGGGGGGGGGGTAGGGGAGGCTCACAGTGTGACTGGTCCTGGCTTCAGCCCCCATTTGCTAGCCCCTTGTATCCTCCTAAGCCCACCTTGGAGCTTGTGGTGGGTCCTCATGGCCTGGCAGAGAAGGAGGGGGGTGGGGCTAAGCCTGCCCCCACGCCGTGGACCACCCACCTTACTTGCAGTGACGACGTGGCACAGTGCAGAAGCCCCCTCAGCCCGAATCTGAGCCGATTTCTCAGCAGGAAACTGGCTCGAGTTGGCATTTAGGGAATGCTGGGTTAGAGAAACCAGTGGGGGGGTGGGCGTGGGTGGCTAGCATCCCACAGAAGCTACCTTGCAGAGGGCAGGGGCAGGGTCCATGGGCCTAAGGGAGAAGGCTGAGCCAGCTGAGTACAGAGATGAAGTATCCCTACCCTCACTCCCCCTCGCACCCCACCACCCCGGGCCAACCACTGTGTCCCTCGCATCTTACAGCTCCTTGGCCTGGGGTCAGGGGTAAGACCCCTTCCACTGTCATCAGGCCCCTTCTGCATCTCCTGCTGTGTAGCTCCCCACTTCCTCTTCCTCCTTCTCTCTCTCCCTTCTGAGGTTGCTTTTTCTATGTGACTCAAAGTAACAATGCTTGCTCAGGAATAAGGTGGAGCCAGGAAATAGCAGAAGGATCCTCCCCTCTGCCCTTCTCCCACCTAAGCTGTCACCTTACAGAGGTGAGTACTCTGGGAAGCTGAGTGGGTGGCTTCCCTCTGGGGCAGGCAGCATAGCACACTGGGGTGCACCTGTTGGAGTCTGCCAGGGCCACCCTTTGTGTCCTGGGGGTGGGTGTGCCTCAGCCCCGGTGGGGCAGCTTGGGTGTCCTAGAAGGATGGCAGGCCTCCATGGCATCCACCTCCCCCAGGGAGCACCTAGCAGGGGACCAAGGCTATAACCTCCTGAGAGGGCCGTGGAGGGCAGGGCAGCTTCCAAATCAGGGCTCCAGGTCCCCCACCATCCACTTCCTTGCACCCCAGTGCCAGGCCAGTCACAAGGGTGTGCTTTGGTTTGACAGCTGAGTGATTAAGGGGACCTTGCTTGCAGAAGCTGGGACATCAGCAGGCCCCTGAGCTGAGTGAGATGGCAGGGAGCAGTCTGGCTGGGCGGGCATTTCCCCTGAGCCTGGCTACAGGGTGGAGGATGCCCCGAGACTTTGCTGCTCGGGCACCACCTGGGCCCTGGAAGTGAGCAGGTGGTCAGCCATGAGCAAACACTTTTGTTTGCTTTTGTCTCACAGGAGGCACTACAGCAGCCTGGGCATCCCTGCGGCAAGGTCACCTGGGCACCTGAGCAGGTGTGCACCTGCCTCGTGAGCCAGGCAGATGCTGGCCTTCCTTCTCAGCACCAGCGCTAACCGGCGGGGCAGTGGCTTCTGCTCAGGGGAGATGCCTGTGGCCCTTGCCCCCGCTCCCCATGCCCACAGCTTGCGCCCCGAGCCTAGGTTCCTCAGTGTTTGGGTCCTGTTGGAGCCCAGGGATCTGGGGTGTGAGCAGCATACGGGTGGGAGGAGGGTGGACAGGACCACGGCCAGGAAGCTGTTTGCGGTAGCCCTGGTGCTTCTGATTGCCGGAAGCTGTCATCTTTGTGTTTCCGAACAGTTGGGTAAAATGGAAGCAATGACCTGGAAGATTCTGGAGAAGGTGGCGCTTGGGGCCAGGAGTGAGAGTGGGGGCTGGACTGGCTGAAGCTGCACAGATTCATGGGGTTACTGAGTTCACTCTTCTAGCTCTTCCTGAAGCAAGCAAAGATGGAGGACAGCTATGACAGGTCCCAGACCACACCCCTCCCCCATCCTTTTCCCTGGGCTGCCTGGTTGTCCCTGCCCAACCCTCCATGTCATCTGTGGGCATCCTGGGCACCCAGGGATCTGCCTTGGGCACAGGCATCTCACTTAGGAAGCAGAGCTCACTTCTGTCGGTGATAAATGCTTTGCCTGGGTTTGTGGCCTGGAACAGGGGGTCAGCTGCAGGTCACCACTGCAGAAGGCTCACCTGGCAGGTCCTCAGGTGTCTCCCCATCTTGGGGCTTCACCCTTGAGGCTCAGGGGACTTCCGTTCCATGCCCAAGTACCCAGCTGTGTGCCCAGGGTGGGAGAGCCGTAGCCCTAGCCCTTGGCTGCACCTGGTCCAGTTGTTTCCTCTGTGTGGCAAGAAGCAGTTCAAGAAACAGACATGGTAGGCAGAGGTGAGCGGAGGAATAAGGATGGATTCAGAGCACACAGGAAGCTCCCACTGGGGAAGCTGGGGAGAAGAGCGGCTGAGATGGCTCAGGGTTCGGAGCCATCCTTGTACTTCTGGACCATCCGGAGACAGGCTGGAGTCAGGTCAGAAGGTGGCGTTGGAGGTGGGGCTTGATGGGCA